AAAAAAGAAATATGACGAAAAAATTGAAATTTCCTAGAATTACTTTTAACTCGTAACGTCCTTGTAAGCATCACTTGGTGTGCTTCGGTGTGGCCATTGACAACATATTCGTTTGTTGCTGTACATTCATAGATACCACGATCATCATCATTCACCTGTTCAATTCGTATTCGCCCATCCCTGGTAATATTCACACGAGAATCTTTTGCAGCTGGAAAAAAAGCGAGATTAAAGTAGTAAGAGATTTAAATAACAAAAAAAAAATAGCAATTTATGAATCCTACTTCATCTGTACACCAACAAACAAAGGCATTTCGAGAAATGGCAAGCAAAAAATGATACTATTGGTGCTGTTACATTTTATATTTAGTTAGGCGCCCTATTAGTAGAAATGCTGAACCAGTACCAAGAAATGCTAAAATCCCTCAGGGAGACCCGCTTGAGGATCCTATGTTAGTTATGTTACAGAGATGCATAAAACAACGGGTTCTGCTATGCCAGTTTTTTTCGGTCCTGAGCATTTATCCTTCTGGTATCCACCGCTTGATCAGTGTTTATGTCAAGAGTTGCCCGAGTGGTCGTTTACTTTCTTAGACTGCTAATACGCGATGTCCACTAGTGATCAACAAGACGAGAACCCCGTAATGCTTAAGGGAGTTTATTTTCTCACGTGCCGGAATGACAAACTGTCCTCATACAATTTCTCACCGAAATAAATCGGCAAATTTTTCAGGAATTCGTTTTCCCGCTCTAGGTTCTAGCTGAATCCGGCAGTGGTCAGCTGTTTATCGCCCTATGTAACCCACTAATCCAACAAGCAATATAAATCTGTATTTACTGTAAAGAAGCCGTATCAAAAGAATTTGCTAATTTTGAAAAATGTATTAAAATTTAACTGAATTCTTTGCCATCCTTTGTCCACGAGAATCGAGCAGGTGGGAAAGCAATCACCGGACAGGTTATCTGCGCTGTTGTTCCTCGAACTACTGTTATACCGTGACCATCGAATGCAAATGGATCATTGTTTCGGGCTTCAAAGTGACTGCTATCTGCCAATACCACAGGACGAACTAAATAATTATTATTACTGATATGAAGAGAAACTGAAAGGTTCCTAACTTCTCTGGTTGCCGAGACAATAGTGAATGATAAAGCACGAACACACACGCACACACACACACACA